CAGGGGGCGCCAGGCGACCGCCGTTACCGCTAGTGTGCGAGCTTCCCAGCAAGAGGGGAGGCTCTCCGATGCCCAGACCTCCCCTGACACCGACAGTTGCTCGTGGGGAGGCAAGCCCTTCCACCCATCGGCCTGCCGCTTGCGCTGAGGCCCCGTCCACCAGCCCTCCCCGCGGACTGGCCAGTGCCTCAAGCTCTCCAGTCCCGCTTACTTGTCGGCGGAAACCAACTCCGCGGCGATGGCGGCAGTGGCTGTGGACTCTGTGGCCATCGTTCCCCTGAGGTGGAGGACCAGTAGGTGAAATAGAACCTGTGAGGAAAACACAGGGAATTTAAGAAGACAGAGACTTATTCAGGGACAGAAAATGGCAGATTGGAGACCCCGCGCGGTTGGGCCCCTGTTATATACCAGGACCCTTGCCCCGCCCATCCACTTCCGGATCCTCCCCCTTGGGTTTAAAGAGCCAGAGCTCAACCTCTCCTGGTCGAAAGGATAGCCCCGCCCTCGCCGTACGGTTCCGCCGGGGTACCTTTCCTGTCGGTCCTGCCTTCCCCTGAAAAAGCAACTTCAGCAAGTTGCGTAAAAAGAACCGGAATCTTGGCACCACAACTACTGACAGGGAGCCAGCCTGCGGCTTCCACAGAAAGGGAAGCTAGTGCTGCTCGACATGTTTGGAGCGAATCGTTGAGTCTCCTTGCAGCCCAGATGCTCGGGAAGGTGACTGAGACTCCCCGTCAATCCTCTGGGTCCGAACGGATGGACACGCAAGACCCAAGTACGAGTACAGCAGCAACGGCTAAAACTGATCTTCGTGAGGGACGCGTGGCTTTGGGCCTCAGCAACTACTGGCGTAAGAAGATGTTGTTCTAGGATTGGCTACAGCTGAAATTACCGCGCTAGATTCAAAGCTCGGGGCTGCGGCGAGGCGCGACTGGCTCCTCCCTCCTCTAGAGCCGCCCCCTTCAGCTGGCCCAATCCGCTGATGCCATCCTCCTAGGCCCTGCCCAAACTCCAAATGTGACTAGGCTACTAGTGAGATCGGTGTTATCAGCCTCATTTTCTAAAAAAATAAAATAAGGTTCATGAAAGGTGTGACTTGCTCAGAAAGTCGTAAGACAAGTCGGTTTTGGAAAACACTGCAGCCCATACAGTGATCAGAAAAGGGGATTTTATTTCCATTTTCGTTCTGGTACATTGATTGGGAAAGACTTCCGCAGAGGAGTCTTACTCCAATTTGCCAAGGCTCAAGCAGGTTGAAATCTTAGACTATAGAGTTGGACCGGAAAATACCAATTCCTTTGACAAACAGACATGAACTCTTCAGTTATTACCTGGGTGGCCTGAGCCAAGTCATGTAGCTTTTTAAGATTAAATGTAGAATGAGGACAGTATTGGTATCTACCTCTTTAAAAAATAAAAAATTACTTTAACTTCATTTTTTTAAATTGTTTAAAATTTAACTTTATTTTGATTCGAGCTAAGAGGGACAGAGCGAGCGAGTACAAGAGAGAGAAAGTGAGAAAGCAATTCGCCAGGTCCTGGACTCTAACGGCTGTTGGTCGGCCACGTGGGACTCCAGCGTCCTTAACCACCAGGCCACCTGCCCGTGCATTCATTTAACGGGGGTAGGGGGGTGGGGGGCCAGCCATCAGATCCGGACTCTGAACTGCGTGGTCTATCATGTGAGAGACCAGCGCCCTTAACTACCACACCACCTGCCCTCCCGGTATCTACCTCTTTGTGAAAATGAGATATTTAGCACTGTGCCTGATTCATGCTAAGCACTCATTAAATGGTCACCATAGTTTGATAACACGGTACCTAGGATGTGAAGGGAGGGAAGAGGAGATCTCTTCAGAGTCCTTGCAGCCAGGGATGAGGCCTGAGAAACCCAATTCAGTTATTTGTGTGACCTGTTCACTCATTAAACTAATACTCACTGAGTACCTGTGATATGCAGGGCTCTTACTAGGTCCTAGGGACAAAGGCATGATCTTTGCCTTGGAGAAACTCAGTCATGTGAGAAATATTTTATACCCACCCACTTCTTTCAGTCTGTACTACCACCACTCTAATCCAAACCTAGCTACCTCATCTCTTGCTTATATTACTGAATAGCCTCTGGTCTTAGTTTAACTCCTTCCAGAAGAATCTTTTTAAAATGTAAATCAGGGGGACCAGCAGGTGGAGTGGTGGTTGAGATGCTGGACACTCCCATATGGCTGACCAGGGTTTGAGTCCTGGACCTGGTGGCTTGCTTTCTTACTTTCCTTCTGTGTGTGTGTGTGTGTGTGTGTGTGTGTGTGTGTGTGTGTCAAATTAAAATAAATGAATGAATAAATAAAATTTAAAAGTCTTTTAAAAAAGTAAATCAGGAGCCAGCCAGTGACATGGTAGTTAAGGTGGCAGGGTTCCACATGGCTGACTACACATTTGATTCCTGGACCTGGGAGCTTGAAAAATACTCTGGGCGCATGTGCTTGCACCCTCAGAATCCTGAGAGAAGAATGGAAGAAAGGGGATTGTAGCATGACCATCTCCCTGGGGGGTGCTTTCTCACTTTCCCTCTCTGTCTCTCAAGCAAACACACATGCCTTACAGCAAATTATAACAAAAAATAAAATGTAAGTCAGATCATGTTACTTTCCTCGAGTTTGTCATTGTTCTTAGAACAAATTGTGAGACCTTACTATTGCCTACAAAGTCTAACATGATGTTTTCAGTTCATCTCTCCAAATTCATCTCATACTATTTCCCTTCACTTGCGATACTCCAATCACACTCATCTCTATTCTGTCCCTCAGAATACCCAAGTCCTAAGGCTGGCAGGTGGCATGGTGGTTAAAGGCAGTAGACTCCCACATGGCTAACTGTGGTTCAAGTCCCAGACCTGGTGGCTTGCTTTCTTACTTTCCCTCTCACCCTCTCTCACTCTATCCCTCTCTGGTCAAATTTAAATAAATAAATGGATAAAGTTAAATAATTTGTTTTTATAAAATAAAGTTAAATGCCCATGTCCTTTCTCATGTCCAGGAACCTTTGTACTTGCGGCTGTACTGCCTAGAAAGCTCTTCTCCCGATACCCTTGAGTGAATAGCTCCTATTTACCCTTCAGACCTCTTCTCAGCTCCCCAAAAGGCCTTCCTTGACTACTCCATCAAAATTAGCTTCTTTTTGGGAACGCAGCAGTTAGCGTAATGGCTATGTCGCTGGACTCCCACGTAGTCGACCGCGGTTCACATCCCGGACCCGGTGGCTTAAAACCCACGCCGGGCGAGTGTGCGTGCGTGCCCAAGATCCCGAGAAGAGAATGAAGGAGAAGGGATTGCAGTGTGGCCATCCCCTCTGGGGGGTGATTTCTCGCTTTCTGTCTCTCTGTCTGTCTGGCGAGCGCCGCGCCCTACAGTAAAAAACCTCTCAATAAAAAAGAAATTAGCTTCTTTTTATTTTTTCCAAATCAAAATAAAAAAGTATTTACTTGTTAGGGCCAGCAGGTGGCGTGGTGGTTAAGGGTGCTGGACTCCCACATGGCGTCCACCCATCCTCTCCTCTCTCTCTCTCTCTCTCTCTCTGTCCCTCTCTGGTCAAATTAAAATAAATAAATACATAAATAAATAAATAAATTTAAATAAAATAATTATTTTTAATAAAATAATTCTTTAAAAAATTTTTTGCTTACACTCACTTTTAAGTTTACACTTATGATCTTTTCTGTCTTGTTTACAGCTAAATCTCAACTACATAACAATAGTGTCAGACTCATATGAGATGTCCAAAGTAAACTTGTAAATGAATCAATAAAACAATTATAGTATTATCATAATTACAACTGGAAAGAAGTTCACTCAAATACTTCTATTGCGCTGGCCCCATAGCACAGTACGTAAGGGCTATACAGAGAAAGCCAGATTCTACATGGCTGGTCACAGTTGGAATCCTGGTCCCAGTGGCTTGAAACCACACCGGGTACATGCATGCCCCAAATCTTTTTTTTTTTTTTTGGAGAGGTTTTTTTGTTATAGGGCATGTGTTCTCACTAGAAAGACAGAGACAGAAACAGAAAGCGAGAAATCACCCCTCTGGGGGGTATGGATAGCGCAACTGGAAATTCCTCCATTCTCCTCTCGGGATCTTGGGCACGCATGTGCACGTGCCCGGCATGAGTTTTAACCCACTGGGTCTGGGATGTGAACCACGGTCGACTATGTGGGAGTCCAGCAACACAGCCATTATGCTAACTGCTTGTTCCCCTCCCAAATCTTAATAAGAAAGAGAAGTGGAGGCCCAGCAGATGACATAATGTTTATATCACTAGACTCCCACATAGTCAACCACAGTTGAGTCCTGGATCCGGCAGATTAAAACTCATGCCTGGCACGTGTGCATGAGTGCCCAAAATCCTGAGAAAAGAATGGAAGAGAAATAATTGTGGTGTGGCCATCTGTCCCGGGGAGGAGGGGGGTGATTTCTCGCTATCTCTCTTTCTCTTTTTTAAAGAATTATTTTTATTTAACTTTATTTATTTATTTATTTATTTATTTTCATTTGACCAGAGAAGGGGAGAGAGAGAGAAAATAAGAAAGTGAGGGGCCAGCAGGTGGTGTGGTGGTTAAGGGCGCTGGACTCAGCGGCTTGCCTTCTCTCTCTCTCTCTCTCTCTCTCTCTCTCTCACTCTGTCCCTGGGCAGAATGAAATTAAAATAAATAAATAAAGTTAAATAAAATAATTCTTTAAAAAAAAAAGAAAGAAAGAAAGAAGGAAAGCAAGAGAGAAAGTGAGAAAGCAAGCTACTAGGTCCTGGACTTGAATCGCAGTCTGCCATGAGAGTCCAGTGCCCTTAACCACCATGCCACCTGACAGCTCCCTCTTTTTCTGTCTTTCTGGCAAGTACACATCCTCTATAGCAAAAACCTCTCAAAAGAAGAGAAATGAAATTGTGGTATGACCACACCGAATTCAGGGGTGCTTTCTCTTTCTCTGTTTTCCTGGTGAGCATACATGCCCTCTAGCAATAATAAATAAATAGCTGGCCTAGAGGAGCTGGATCCCACATGGCCAACCTTAGTTTTTGTTTTTCAAGTTTTGATATAGGGCACATGAACTCACCAAAGAAAGAGAGAGAGAGAGAGAGAGAGGGAAAGTGAGAAATCACCCCTCAGGGTGACGGCTATGCCACAATCCCTTCTCCTCCATTCTCCTCTGGAGATTTTGGGCACACACGCAAACATGTCCATGCATAAATTGTTTTTAAAAGAAGATAATGGGGCCAGCAGGTGGCATGGTGGCCAAGGGTGCTGGACTCCCATATGGCTAACTGTGGTTCAAGTCCCAGAACTGGCAGCTTGCTTTCTCATTTTCTTTCTCTCTCTCTCTCTCTGTCTCTCTCTGGTCAAATTAAAATAAATTTTAAAAGTTAAAATAAAAATAATTCTTAAAAAAAAAAAGATAATGAAAGCCAGAAGCTAGTACAGTGGTTAAGACACCGGACTCCAACATGGCCACCGTAGTTCAAGTTCTAGATCTGGCAGCTTGCTTTCTCACTTTCTCTCTCTCTCTGATGAGCACATGTGCCCTATAACAAATCAAAATAATATTTTTTTTAAAAAAAGAAGATAGTCGGGAACCAGCAGTTAGTGTAATGGCTATGTTGCTAGATTCCCACGTAGTCGACCGCGGTTCGCATCCTGGACCCGGTGGCTTAAAACTCACGCTGGGCGCGTGTGCGTGCGTGCCCAAGATCCCGAGAAGAGAATGGAGGAAAAGGGATTGCGGCATGACCATCCCCTCTGGGGGGTGATTTCTTGCTTTCTGTCTCTATGTCTCTCTCTGTCTGTCTGGAAAGCGCACGCGCCCTGTAGCGAAAACCTCTCCCCCCCCTAAAAAAAAAAAGATAATGGAGAAATGAACATTCACATAAAATACATGAAATATAAAATATAGCAGGTGGCATGGCACATGACCAACTGTACAGTTCAAGTCTTAGATCTGGTAGTTTGAAAAAACATGTCAGGGGGACCAGCAATTGGCATAATGGCTATGTCCCTGGACTTCCATGTAGTTGACTGCGGTTCAAGTTCTGGACCCAGTGACTTAAACTCACACCAGGCATGTGTGAGTGCATGCCCAAGATCCTGACAAGAAAATGGAGAAGAAGGGATTGTGGCATGGCCATCCCCCCTGGGGGGTGATTTCTCGCTTTCTGTCTGTCTCTCTTTGTCTTTCTGGTGAGTACATGCGTCCTATAGCAAAAAAGCAAAAAACCCTTCACAACAAAAACAAAACAAAAAACAAAACAAAACATGTCAGGTGTGTGTATGTACCTAAAACCTCAATAAGACAGTGGAAGAGAAGAAGATTGTGATGTGGTCATCCCCCTGGGGGTGCTTTTTCACTTTCCATCTCTTTATCTATGGTGAATGCACACACCTTATAGCAAAATATAAACAACTTCGAGTCCTGTGACATAATGCTAGTAATTTATCTCCCAATATCTATTTTTCTCTTCTTTTATAGTAGTAATAGGAAGCTGACTAGAAAAAAAAATTTTTAAACATTTTTTGCCATAGGGCACATGCACCCACTGGAAAGAAACAGAGAGGGAAAGTGAGAAGTCATCCCCCAGGGGTGAGGCCATGAAGCTCTCCCTTCTCCTCCATTGTCCTCTCAAGATTTTGGACATGCACGCTTATGTGTCTAGCATGTTTCACAAGCCACCAGGTCCAGACTTGAACCTTTCAGTTGGCTGTGTAAAATCCTGCACCTTAACCACCATTTCTGGTTAGCCCAGAAATACGATTTTTTTGTTTTAACAATTACTTATTTTGGGACCAGCAGATGGCATAATGGTGCTGCTGGACTCCCACATAGTTGACCATGGTTTGAGTTCTGGACTGGCAGCTTGAAACTCACGCCTGGTGCATATGCATGAGTGCCCAGAATCCCCAGAGAATGGAGAAGGGATTGCGGCACGTCCATCCCTCTGATGGTGGGTGATTTCTCACTTTCTGTCTCTCTATCTCTGTCTCTACGGTGAGTGAATGCACCCTATAGCAAAAATCTCTCTCTAAAAAAAAAAAAAAAAAAAAAAAAAAAACAGTCCCCCCCCCAGCCAGTAGAAGGAACCAATTTTACCAACACCTTGATCTCAGGCATCTAGCTTCCATAAGTATGAGAAAGTAAATTTCGGGACCAGCAGTTCACGTAATGGCTCCTATGTCGCTGGACTCCCACGTAGTCGACTGCGGTTCGCGTCCTGGACCCGGTGGCTTAAAACTCACGCCGGGCATGTTTTCATGCCCAAGATCCCGAGAGGAGAATGAAGGAGAAGGGATTGCGGTGTGGCCATCCCCCCTGGGGGGTGATTTCTCACTTTATATCAAAAAAAAAAAAAGAAAGAAAGAAAGAAAGAAAGTAAATTTCCATTGTTAAAGTTACAAAGTTGGGGGCCAGCAGGTAGCATGGTGGTTATAGCACTGGACTCCCACATGGCCAACCATTGTTCAAGTCCCAGATCCAGTGGCCCCAAAATCACAACAAATAAATAAATATTTTTTTTTAATTCACTCAGGAATGAATAAATAAAATTAAATAAAGTAACTCTTTAAAAAGAAAGGGGGGACCAGCAGGTGGCGTGGTGATTAAGGTGCTGGACACTCCCACATGGCTGACCACAGTTCAAGTCCTGGACCTGGTGGCTTGCTTTCTCACTTTCCCTCTTTCTCTGTGTCTCTCTCTGGTCAAATTAAAGTAAAATGAATGAATAAATAAAATTAAAACAAAAAATTAAAATCTTACCTGCCACCTTCTCGCCTGTGTGTTACTTCTTGTAGCAGCGCAAGTCAGAATGTTTTTTTCACTCCTCTTTCACACAATTCAGGGCCATCCTCCCTGGGGGGTGATTTCTCACTTTCCCTCTGTCTGCCTTTCCTGGGCAAGAGCACACGCCCTAAGGCAAAAACCTCTAAAAAAAAAAAAAATGTGTGAAGCGCTTGTGGAATCCAAGCAAGCCACCTGTGGGGAGTGAGGTCAGGAAAGATATACCAAAGGAAGTACCAATTAGATTGAACACAGGAGTAAAAAGGACTTAGCTGGTACTAAGGGGGTCCCTGGGTGAACTATTCCAGAGACAAGACTTTACTTCCAACAGGCCCCTTTCCATCTACCTTGATTGCCAGAGAGCACATGTGCTCATCAGAGAGAACCCCCCAACAGGGAATCGGTCATGCTGCGACCCCTTTCCCATTCCTCTATCCTGTTGGATTTGGAGCACTGACACACACATTTTCCCCCAGCATGTCTTTCAAGTCTTCTGGCTGGAATTCAAACAGTGGTTTGGGATCTAGTGCCCTTAGCCACTAGGCCACAGGACTTAGTGCCCTTAGCCACTAGGCCACAGGGCTGGCCCTCTCCATTCACTTTTATTTTTTAAATAATTATTTTATTTAACTTTATTTATTTTAATTTGACCAGAGAGGGATAGAGTGAGAGAGTGGGAAAGTGAGAAAGCAAGTCGCCAGATTCCCAAAATGTTGTGGGAGTCCTTGTGGGAGTCCAGCACTCTCAACCCTCAACCACCACACCACCTGCCAGCCCCACTCTCCATTCACTTTTGGCCTCGCAAATCCTCCCAGCGGACCAGGGTTGTGTTTCTAGACAATTATGCCATGTTACTTCGCTCAACTTTTCGACGGCTTCTTGTATTGATAAAAACAAAATCTCAACCATCTCCTAGGATATCTATCCCAAAGTCCCTACCAATTCTAGCACCATTTCATGCCATTCCTCCCATCCCCGCCCACCCCCCACTCACTTTTAGTTTCTTCACACACGTCTTCAGGGTTTTCCACCTTTTTATAATTTGAAGGTTTCCCCTCAAGGTGTCCAATTTGCTTGGAATGCTACTTCCACTCTCACCTTTTAAGTAATTAACCCCTATTTATCCTTCAGCTTTCAGCTGACTAAATAAGGCTTCTCACCCTCTACTTCTTCTAACTGTAATTAAGCTAATTATGCAGACTAAGTCTGCTTCTCCAGTAGGCTATAGAGACCACTGTTTTGATTATAACTATATCCCCAGGACCTAGCATTGTGCCTAACCCATACCCAACAAATATTTGAGAAATGGTCCAACTGGGGAACTAAAATTAGTTTTTTGTAACTGGAGTTTAGAGGAACTTACCAAAACCCTTCCTAAAATCTGTTTATCAGTGGTGGCTGGTAGGACCATTAAGTACAGACATTAGCACCATGTCTACCTTAAGTTAGATTCAGAGTGACAAACTTTGGGCCCAACTCTGCCTAGGTAGACCACTGACTGCACTGGTTGTGAGGAAAAGCCTTGCCTTACCTTTAATGATTTTGTAAGCTGGGACACTCCAAACTTCTGAGTTTTTTTCTCCCCAGCTCTTTTTTTTAGGTAGGCACTGGACAGGGCAAAGGATGGGAATGCCAGCACTACTCTGAAACCACAGGACACTCACTGACCTGGTCTAAATCCAAACGTGACCAATTTTTGGCATTCTTGATAAGACAACTCTGGAGCAGCTTGCAGTGCTAAGAGCTGACACTAGATGGCACTACACCCCTAACATGCCCAATACAGGTATGCAGTGGAATTCAGCTGCCTCAGAGGTGCTTTTAGAACCAAGGAAGATAAAAGGAAGTAAGCTTCATATTTAGCAACCCTAAGTCTTTTTTTAAAGAATTATTTTTAATTAACTTACTTTTTTTTTTATTTAAATTTGACCAGAGAGGTACAGAGTGAGAGAAAGAGGGAAAGTGGGAAAGCCAGCCACCAGGTCCAGGACTGGGACCGCAGTTGGCCATGTGGGAGTCCAGTGCCCTTAACCACAGTGCCCCAGCAGCCCTAAGTCTGTCATCCCTCAGGGAAACGGCTTCCATCTCAGACCTGATTAGACAAATAAGACAAGCACACAGCGTGGCTGCTCTGACGGCTTTATTATCTCCTTTGCAGAGCTGGCAGGACCTCATAGCTGGAGAGCTGAAAGGGAAGCCAAGAAGCTGCAGTTTCAGTATGGATCATTAAAGGGGTACAGAGGGTGCCCTGCATCTCTTGGGACCCTCTTCCCATCCACCTGGAAAGAATGAGAGACAGATAACGCCATTAGTGTGAGTTGATATCCTGAAGGCTCAGGCCATCTTCCTCAAGTCTTCCTGACCATCGCCGGTGTATTGCACTGTGCCAGATGGCAGTGGCCAGGACTCTGGCCTCAGAGAACACCACAGTATCAACAGCATTCCAGCACGAAACCTATACCCTGGTATGTGGTACCCCTGCCCAAGAGTTTGCGGTCTTGACTGGGAACAAGTGCCCGGGGCCTACTTATTTCCATATGTACAGCTCCAGTCAACTCAACTCATTCCTCTACTGTAACAAGACCAAGAATGCCTTCTGGGCCTAGCAGATGGCGTAGTGGTTATGTTGTTGGACTCCCACATGACAAACTGCAGTTTGAGTCCCAGATCTGGTCGCTTGAAACACACAGGGCATGTGACCACGTGCCCAAGATCCTGGGAGGAGAATGAAGGAGAAGGGGTTGTTGTAGCGTGGCCATCCCCTCGGAGGGTGATTGCTCACTTTCCCTCTCACCATCTCTGTCTCCCTCTCTCTCCAGCGAAGAGAGAGGGAAAAAACTCTAAAAAGGCAAAAAAAAAAAAACCTAAAAATAAAAAGAATGCCTTCTGGCTCCCCTCATTTCATTTACTGAGAACCTACTACAAGGCAGGAACTGGATTAATTTTACAAATAGGAAACTCAGGCTTGGAGAAGCTAAATAACTTGTTCAAGGTTACAAGCTATCAAGAAGCATGACTCAGACTCATAGGCTATATATGCCTTACTTATTCGGGAGCCACACTACTTCGCTGAGTACAATGAAAAGAAAAGAGACCATAGTATCCTGGACAGCAGTCCCACCAACATCCTGCCCCTCCTCCAAGCAGCAAGCGGGAGGCCAGACCTGGGCTAAACCCCACCCCAAATTTCACATTCCCTGACTCAGGGGAGTGACATTCTCACCGTAATCATGGGCACAATATATCGCCAGTTTTTGTTCAAGGCATCTAGTTGCTTCATCTCTTCTGGGCTAAAAGTGAAGTCAAACACCTAGGAACAAGGAGTGAGGGTCAGGAAGGTCAGCACTGTTAAGTGAAAGCTGGAGTTCTACACCCTCCCTTCTTAGCCAGGCACAGATGGGGCCAGAATGTGTCCCAAAGAGCTAAAGAACCCATTACCAAGTACCTGGATGTTCTGAAGGATACGAGAGGGAGTGACACTTTTGGGTATGCAGATCACTTTCCGCTGGACCTGCCACCTAAGATGAGGGTTTAAGGTAGATGAAGGAGGAGTCAGTATTCACAGCATTGTTTTGTTCTCCCTATAGCTGTCCTAAGCTCCTGGAGCACCTGAGCCCCACTGGAATGGGAAATATGCTTCAGAGTGGCCTGCCCCAGATCACATGGCAACACCCTCAGCCTCTCTAGGCACTTGGGTAAGGAATCCCTCAACCCTTGCCTCGCAGCCCAGGGGCCCTATCCCCAACTAGATCCCCTTTCCCCAAGACTGCCCCGCACCTGAGCAGGATCTGAGCTGGAGATCGGCCATACTTTTCAGCCAAAGCCAGGACCACTGGTTCCTCAAGCAGGACCGGCTCACCAGGGTCACGCCACGCACGATCTGAAGAGCCCAAGGGACTGTAAGCAGTCACCTCCAGACCACGTGCTTGACAGTGGGCAATCAGCTCCTTCTGTGCCAAGTAGGGGTGACATTCCACCTGAGACAAAGAACAGTCCATCACCATGGGGTGGCCCCACACACATATGCATGTCTGGAACCAACCTTCCATTGCTGACCCCCCTACTTCTCCTCAGCTTGCATTCCTCATAGTTTTGCACTGACAATTTCATTTTCTCTCAGTTTTTCAACGCCCACTTTCTTTTTTTAAGGCTTTTTGGTGTAGGGTTCATACACTCGCCAGAGAGGGAGAGATAGAAAATGAGAAGGCACAGGGCTGGCAAGTGGTGTGATGGTTAAGGAGCTGGATTCCCACATGGCTGAGCACGGTTCAAGTCCCGGACCCAGCAGCTTGCTTTCTCACTTTTCCCTCTCTCTCATCAGTCAAATTAAAATAATGATGATGATGGATGATGATAAAAAATAAAAAAAGGGAAAAAAGAAAATGAGAGGGGCTGGCAGGTGGCATAGTGGTTGAGCGTGCTGGACTCCCACATGATGGCCGACCGCAGTTCAAGTCCTGGACCTGGCGGCTTGCTTTCTCACTTTCCCTCTCTTTCTCACTCTGTCCCTCTGTGGTCAAATTAAAATAAAGAAAGTTAAATAATTTTTAAAAAGAGAGAGAGAGAGAAAGAGAGAGAGAAAGAGAGAGAGAAGGTGCTCCCGTTTCCCTCAGGGATGACCATGCCGTAGTGCTGTAGTTCTTTCACCTCCACCCTCCTCTCAGGATTTTGGGCCATGTATGCACAAGCAGCACCCAGAGTGATTTTTGAAGCTGCCAGGTCCAGGACTTGAACTATAGTCCACCATGTGGGATCCAGCCGCTTTTACTACTGCACCACCTGGCTACCCCTCAATGCCCACATTTATGCAGCGGGTCTCTACACCAACACTTGAGACAACTAGCCAACAGACCTAGCACCTGCCCACTCCTGCTCTTGTATCCACAAATCCCCCAGTCACTGGTCTGCTTGCTGTGCTCACCTGCAAGACAGCCGGGCGCACCGAGGCCACACTGAGTATATCATCTATCTGCCGGCTGTTGAAGTTGGATAGGCCCAATGCCCGCACCAGTCCCTTGGCCACCAGTGCCTCCAGAGCCTTCCAGGTCTCCTTGTAGTGGGTGGAGTCATAGCGTACTGTCCCATCAGCATTCTTTGGGAAGGGGTTGTCTCCTCGCCTAAGTGAAAGACGGCCCCCCAAATGTGGGCATGAATGCCAGGCTTTTGCCCTACCTGCTCATATAGCTACTCTATGTCCCATACCCCAATCCAAAGTGGGCAAAGGGCCAAGAATGAGCAACAGCCATGCGTTTTCATCCTTCCAAATCACAACCCAAGTATCAAGTCTACATGGAATGCCCATTCCCTTGCCTCTTCTTCCTAGACCCAAGTTCGATCTCTGCTGGGAAGTCTTTAACTCCTTCCTCCTTAGGGAGTTATATGCTCTTCCAGCCCTCTTTCAGCACAGGGTACAGTGCTAATGGAGGCCCTCCTTATACCCTTTGCTGAGACTTATTGAGTACTACCACCCTCGGGCCTCATTCAGCAGAAGGGTCAGCCATGTCTCCTAAAGAGAGAAAGAGGGCCGGCGAGTGGCATGGTGGTTAAGGCACTGAACTCCCATATGCTGACTGTGGTTCTAGTCTCAGATCTGGTGGCTTGCTTTCTCACTTTCCTTCTCTCTCTCTGTCTCTTTGTGTGTGCCTCTCTGGTCAAACTTTAAAAAATCATAATAATAAATAAATAATTCTAAAAAAAGAAGAAAGGGAGGGACGGCTTGTGCAAATCCTCGGCACCCGCCATGTGAAGTTGTACTCCTTCTTCTGAAGCTACACTCCTGACTGCTGCAGCAGCGAAAGTCAAGATCCCATGTCAAGCTCCTCAGCTTGTCACATTGAGTGCTCCTCTCCTGTCCTGTGATTTACAGCAAGTTACTAATACCAACTGCCCTCCCCGGGTGAAGGTCTTAGCAAGGCTCACTCGAAGGCATAAGGCCAGTGCATTAGGTACAGGTCCAGATACTCCAGCTGGAGGTCAGCCAGCGTCTTCCGGAGGGCAGGCTCCACATCCTCGGGGTGGTGCTTGGTGTTCCACAGCTTGGATGTCACAAACAGCTCCTCCCGAGACACCCCCTGGTGCAGGAGGCAGGACACACACTGTGAAGAGGCATGGGCACCCAGCCCACCCACCCTCACCACTGGGAGACAAACTAGAAGGAAGCTGACTCCAGAGTCCCTCCAGCTATGCCCCAGTGACAGATGCAGCCTCTGCGTTCCCTCACCACATCCTTCTGTGAGGTCCCAAGCCTTTACCTTGCCAGGTCCCACGTTCTCCTTCAGGGCCTCCCCAATCTCAGTCTCGTTGCCGTAGATGGCAGCACAGTCAATGTGGCGGTAGCCTACGCTAAGGGCATACTTAACAGCTGCTTTTACCTGCCAAGAGAAAGGTACAGAGGTTTCAGTTCTGGTGGTCTGGGCCAGACTCTGCCTCCCTAAGGGGCATTGGTAGCAGAGTAAGAGTGTACCAAGGCCATCCATGCAGCTGTAATTAAATGGAGGATGGCTCTAGTCAAGGAGACCAGAAGTCTCTTCAGAGGCCCAAACCCTTAGTCCTGCCTCCACCCACAGCCTATCCAAGCCATCTCAGCAAGGCCCTGCAAAAAACACAATACGGGGCCAGCAGGTGGTGTGGTGGTTAAGGATGCTGGATTCCCACATGGCAGACCACAGTTCGAGTCCTGGACCTGGTGGCTTGCTTTCTCTTTCTCTCTCTCTCTCTCTCTCTCTCCCTGGTCAAATTAAAATTTAAAAATACAGTTAAATAAAATAATTCTTTTAAAAAAAACACACACAATATGAAAAGACTTCAAAAGGTTCATGGAAAATGGAATTAGAGTATGAGTTTATTTTGGTGCCAGGAATGAAAATCAAGTCTTTTCTAATACACATTTTCCATAAAGTTCTTGAAGAATCTATGTATGTTCTCAGCATCTAACACAAAGGTTTTAACAAATATTTTTGAATCAGAGATGGATGGATAGAGGACAGAAGTATAGATTATGGAGACAGGTCCCCAACTCTGAGCAATAGGTTAGAGCAACATAATTACAGGAAAAAAAAAAAAATTATTAGGCCAAACCACACAGGGAGAGACCCTCAGAGTATAAGCAGAGAGAGTTCTGGGAGCTCAGGCCCCCAACATAGGTAAGGGGAGAATTAAGGAAGGCAGAAAAGGGCCGAGAGGCCCCTGATGAGAGAAGAATGCAGATATCAAGTAGGAAGATGAGTCAGTCAATTGGTAAAAACCTGAATAGAGGGGCTGGCATGTAGCAAGGAGGTTAGGGCACTGGATTTTCACATGGCCAACTGCAGTTCAAGTCCTGGACCTGGTGGCTGGCTTTCTCACTTTCCTTCTCTCTCCGTCCCTCTCTGGTCAAATTAAAAAA